ACCCAGTTTTTATTTTTGAACATACATGTCTTTTATTTGACATCAGGAAGGGGAGCTAGGGAGGGGTAAGTGGAAGGACATGAGGGAGGAATGAGGCACAAACCCCTGGTGGGGAGGACCAGGGAGGCTCTGAGGGCTCCTTGTGGTGGACGCTCTCCCGCAGGATCTCCCGGATCCTGATAGCCCCCCAATGGACCCCCCGGATGGCAGCCTGTAGCAAGTGCAGCTAGGCTGATAGCAACAACCCCATGAGATGCACCGGCATGCCATGGGGCAGCTCTGGCTCCATGTGGCCGAGTGTTGTGATGTCCCATGTGCGGGCACTCAGGGCACTCTAAGACAGGACTGCTTTGCTGTCCCACATCGAGGTAGACAAGCACGGGTTCCTTTAACCACAGCCCTCAGCTAGCCTGAGGCAGCAGCCCCACACACTAAGTCCTAACCTGATGCCCTGCCGGCACTGGTTACGGCCAGCCTTAACTTCGGTTCAGGGTCCACTCAGTGTGGACACCCTATTTTGAAATATCAAAACGCTAATTCGAAATAGTTTTTGTGTGTAAATGCATTAATTCAAATTAGCTTAATTCGAATTAACTAGTTCGAATTAAGATAACTCGAATTAACGCTGTAGTGTAGACGTACCCTTAGAGAAATAGTTTTTCCTGTTCTCCAACCTAGGCCTCCCCCACTGCAACTTGAGACCATTGCTCCTCATTTTGCCATCCGCCACTGCTGAGAACAGCCTCTTACATAAGAACGGCCAGACTGGGCCAGACCAAAGGCCCATCTAGCTCAGTATCTTGTCTGCTGACAGTGGCCAATGCCAGGTGCCTCAGAGGGAGGGATCACAACAGGTAATCCTCACGTGATCCCTCCCTATCGTCCATTTCCATGACAAATGGAAGAATTAACAAGGGAGAAACCTGACCAAGGACATTCTGTTGCTTATCACTTGGGGTGAAGGAAGCAGAAGTGAGTGGTGCAAACGGGGTGCTTCAAGATCAGTCATGAACACACCAGTGAGAGGAAGGGGATGCCACTAATGGACATCACCCCTCCTGGACTATGTGCAACCAGTGGATAACATCTTACCCAACTTGCCCCCATGCCTCATATACCATGCCTCACCGGACAGCCAACACAGGATACAGAACCCACCAAATGAAGGGAGGTTCTTTGGCTACTGGAGTGACCCAGGGGACAGGGCATTTGCCTGAAAGAGCACGGGGGGGGGTTCAAGGTTTGGCTGCCCTGGGAGCAGCTGGACAGCCAACATAAACTGTCCCAGGGTAGACAGGCTCCTGCATTAGGAAAGCAGTATAAGAGACCCCTGAAGGTGGGGGTGGACCATGGAGTGTCAGAGGCAATAGGACATTTGCTTCATACCCAAGACCAGAGCCTGTACCCGCACAGCAGTTGGAGTCGATCAATTTGGTATATTGGGGTGACGTGCATGTTGGACTTCTGCCTCAACCAAATTAACCAACTTTACCAAGGGTTTTGCCAGCCCCAGAGGGTGAGTGGTGTGTGTGAATGTGTTTATGAGAGTGTGGGCTACGTTTGGGTTAAGAATTAGGCTGCTAAATTGGGTTAATAATTAGACTGTTAATTATTTAAGCACTGTTTTCACTTGCTTTTAATGCTTTTTAATTGCTAAGTTATTACTAATATATATATATATTGCTCCTGAATTGCTGACAATAAAACTTGTTAAAGGTATATTTGGGATTCTATGTTTTTTTGCTGTTTTGTGATGTCAATCAAATGCCCTGTCGTTGGCCTGATAAACTGTACAACAGCTCCCCCTTCTGACAAAAGGGTCTAAGATAAACAACCTGATAGTATTTGTGTTCGGAGTAAACATCTAACTCTGTCTGATTCAAGAAAAGGTCAAGGTTGGTACATGGTGGATAGAGATGTTCTAATCAGATCACGAGGCACAAGATGATTGGTGGTAACCTGGTAACATCAGAGGGTGGCAACCTCACACATTCGCAGTGATGTGTTTGTACCTGTATATAAGGTGGTGTCTTCTGGGACAGTCTTTGAATGTCCTAGGGGTGCAATGGAAGTGTTGAAGCTATTCCATTGTTACGGGGTATAAATGCACAATGGTTCAGTAGAGTGTATTTACAACTATTAATATACTTTGCTTAACAGTAAACCTAGCCTGGCACCTTTGATCCTTATGGGTATGTCTACACTACCCTCCTAGTTCGAACTAGGAGGGTGTGACGTAGTGGGGGTACTTGCTGGGCTGTGGTGACCTCTGCTGTCTGGAGCAAGACCCAGCAGGGAAAACCTCACTAGGCCAAGGTAATGCCAAACTTGTTGAACCAGTGGCCAGACACCCCCCATGGAGAGGAACAAAGGAAGGTGGAATGCTGCCCTGGCTGGGGGGCAGGGCTGGAAGGGAGTGAGTTGGTGGCGGGCTGTCTGTGAGGATGGAGGAGACAGCCTAGGGAGAGGAGCTGGAGTTTAGGGGCCCAGTCTCCCCCCAACTCAAGGGGGTCTGAGGCATCCTAGCCCAGTTCTGTGACCAGACTACATCTGTGCTATGCTGTATCCTGGAGAGGCAATAAACTTCCTCTATGTTTGTGCCATTTCGGGGTGCAGGAGACGGGGAACCCCCAACGCGCCGTCACAGAGGGTAATGTACGCATACCGCACTTGCAAATGAAGCCCGGGATTTGAATTTCCCAGGCTTCATTTGCATGAAGCCGGCCGGCGCCATTTTTAAATGCCGGCTCGTTCGAACCCCGTGCCGCGCGGCTACATGCGGCACGGGCTAGATAGTGCGGACTAGCTAGCTATTCCGCACTATCTGTACGCCTCGTGGAATGAGGCGCACAGATATTGCAGAATGGCTTACTAGTCCGCACTATCTAGCCCGTGCCGCGTGTAGCCGCGCGGCATGGGGTTCAAACGAGCTGGCATTTAAAAATTGCGCCGGCCGGCTTCATGCAAATAAAGCCCGGGAAATTCAAATCCCGGGCTTCATTTGCAAGTGCGGTATGCCTACATTACCCTCCTAGTTCGAACTAGGAGGGTAGTGTAGACATGCCCTATCTGATTTGTGGTCTTTGTGGGCTCACTTGAGTCTGCTGGGAAGACTCAGTGCACTCGTGTACACGGCCTACATCACTGAGCACACACGCAAGCAGCCTTCTGGTTCTCATCAGTGGAGTCAGAGACGCATGAGGACATCGCAACAGTGAATCCTGGCCCCGCTAACTAACAGCATTGCTGAACAGCTGCCTGAATAACAACATCATGTTTTTTTATAGAGGCAATAAGATATTTTCTGTCTTATTCTCTTCCTCTTTTTTAATGATTCCTAACATTCGATTTGCCTTTTTGACTGTCGCTGCGCACGGAGTGGATGTTTTCAGAGAACTCTCCACAATGACTCCAAGATCTATCTGTTCAGTAGTTGTAGCCAAATTAGTCCCCATACTATTGTACGTATAGTTGGGATTATTTTTTCCAACGTATATTACATTTATCACACTGAATTTCATTTGCGATTTTGTTGCCCAATCACTTAGTTTGGTGAGATCTTTTTGAAGCTCTTTACAGACTGCTTTGGTCTTAACTATCTCAAGCAGTTTGGGGCCATCTGCAAATTTTGCCACCTCACTGTTTACCCCTTTCTCTAGATCAGTGTTTCTCAAACTGTGCTCCGTGGAGCCCCAGGGCTCTGTAAGACCTCTCCAGGGGCTCCACAAGGTCTAATGTGGCCAACATTGATAGGTACAACACATACAGTGAACCACTGGGGTTCTGCATACATTTTTATGCATGTAAAGGGCTCTGGAGCCCAAAAAGTTTGAGAACCGCTGCTCTAGATCATTTATATATAAGATGAATAGGACTGGTCCCAGGACGGACCTTTGGGGGAACCCACTAGTTACCTCTCTCCATTTGGAAAAGCTTACCATTTATTCCTACCCTTTGGTAACTGGTTAAAAGACAAGAAACAATCTACAAAAGGATCTTCCTACTTATCCCATGGCAACTTATTTTACTTAAAGAGTTTTTGGTGAGGGACCTTGTCAAAAGCTTCCTGGAAATCTAAGTATAATATATCCACTGGATCCCCCCTTGTCCACATGTTTGTTGACCCCCTCAAAGAGCTCTAGTAGATTAGTAAGGCAGGATTTCCCTTTCCAGAAACCATGTTGACTTTTCCCCAACAAATTATGTTCATCTATGTG